TTTTGGTGGTGGTACTGATATTTGCAATGCTCAGGCCTGAGATCTTTTTGAAGTTTATTTATTTATTTTTATTTATTTGAAAGAAGGATCAGTGTTCCATCTGCTGAATTACTCTCACAAATGCCTACAACAGCTGGGACTGGGCCAGGCAAAAACCAGAAGCCAGGAACTCCATCCAGCTCTCCTACATGAGTAGCAGAGAACCACCTACATAAGTCAGTTCCGCTGCTTCCCAGGGTATGCATTAGAAGGAAGCTGGGTCAGAAGTGGAGACAGGGCTTCAATATGGGTTGCAGATAGCCCAAGCTGTGGCTTAACCCACTGCACCAAGCACCCACCAAGGCTTGAGGCTTTGCTTCTAGGTTATTGTCTAGTAGGCAGAGTAATTTCCAGGGGTTTATGCTTAGTAGTTCTAATCATAATTACCCTTATCCTGTGAATTATTGAGCCAATGTGGCGAGCTCTACTAGTTACCAAGTATTCCTGTTCAGAAATTAGGTAGGGTCCACATACCACCTGGGCTCAAGGCTCCTTCTCTTGCATGATCACTGTAAGTTCCCCTCTTGACTGGTAGATAATACTAGTACTTTATGTTTCCAAGAACTGTATCATTACTAGCCTGTGCCTAATAACCCCAAATGTTTGGAAGTTTCCTTTTCTTAATTCAGTCATTCCCATAACTGACCACAGATGCCTTAAAGGAAGATAAATACATTATATATTTGTGGCACTGCTTACAAGACTCCCTCAATGGGACCTTGCTTTTCCTTCAGTTAAGGAGCTCTGAATATAAAAATTGGCTTAGATCTGAAAATTGATTGAGAATCTGTGATTCTCCATTGTGGTCATTTAAATCAGGTATTTAGCCACTAAGCCTTGGGGTTTTCTATTATTTAAATCAAATATTCATATACAGCCTGGGGGCCAGCATTGTGGCATAGCAGGTTAAGCTGCCATCTGCAATTCCAGCATCCCACGTGGGCACCAGTTTGAGTCCTGGCTGCTCTACTTCTGATCCAGCTCCCTGTTACTGTGCCTGGGAAAGCAGTGGAGGATGGCCCAAGTGGGAGACCCGGAAAAAGTTTCTGGATTCTGGCTTCAACCAACCCAACACCGGCCATTGTAGCCATTTGGAGAGTGAACAGTGGATGAAGATCTCTCTCTCTCCCTCTGTCTCCCCCTCTCTCTCTGTAACTCTCTCAAATAAATAAAAATAAATCCTTAAAAAGACCTAGATCACTTCTCGGCCTTTTGGCTAAGGTTAAGTGTAAAAAAAAAATTTTAGAGTGTGCACATTTATTTCATTCCTATAGAAACATGATTAATTAGCCACCAACAAAAATACCCACACGTCACAATATTCTGATTATCAGTATATGGCTGCCACTCTTTTCTGTAGAAACAGCTACCTTATCTTTGGTGGTTACGTGCTGCTGCTTGGCATCTGCTTCACCAGGATTATCCTTTTTGACTCAGGGAGCCCATATCAATGGTCATGTCTCTTACGGTCTCTGATGGTCATCCCTGACTTACATAGGAGAACGATCAGAGATTTGCATATGGTCCTGTATTTCTCAGTGCATCAGTGGAGGGACTATTTTCTAGACTTTCTGGTGGGATGTAATTAATGTGTAGCTATGTGGGTTGCATATGAAAAATCTACTCCAGTATCTTTTTGGCACCACACTTTTAGATTCCTTCTTCTATGTCAGGAGTCAGCTCATGGATCAAATTCAGCCCATCTTCTGATTTTGTAAATAAAGTTTTATTGGAACAGCTGGGTTAATTCATTTATGTATTCTCTAGGAATTCTTTCCCACTACAATAACAGAGTTTTGTTGTGGCAGAGACCACGTGGCCCACAAAGCTGAAAATATTTACTACCTAGTCCTTTTACAAAGTTTGCTAATCTCTACCCCACAGTAAGCTGCAATTTCACCCAAGTTGGGATCTAATGACAGCCAAGGTGTAGCTGTGATGGTTCCTCAGAAAAATGAGCATCCCCTGGCAAGGCAACTATCGCAGAAGTTCAGGACCTCTCAGATGAGGGGAAAGCAAGCTATTTGCCCTCCCAAGTGAGACTCAGAATAGCATAGAAGTTTGAGATTCTCAGCCTTGTCTAACCAGATATTCCCGTCCCAAGTTTCAGAGTTTTCACTCAGTGCTCTTTCATATTAAAATATGTAAAGTGGCCAATTGAATTAACATTATAAATTTGCAGCCTACAGAATTAAATTTGTACTTAATTTTTGGTGCCTGTATAAAGTCAGAGACTTTTTAGACTCATTGTGGAAAGTTTCTCTACACAGATCATGACTCATGCTGAGAGTGTAAGGACCTGAGCTTGTTACTTTCTTGAAAGTGCTCCATGGTCTCAGTGGAATCTATTGCACTACACAGTCCTTGGAGTCATCATTATTGTAATAGTCAAGGGCAGCCGCCTCTTGGGATCCCAAGGGACTTACTTCTGCTGACACTTTATCACAATCAGTGGCATGAGATTACTTGATTACTAGTGATGCCAGTGTATACCTTGGATGACTAGCATCCTATTTGCCTTTGGCAAGGGTTCAGCATTGTGTTTAAGTCCAAAGGCGTAACTAAAACCAAGTCCAAAAATCTTATCTTTGGTGATCTGTCTCCTGGGACTATTTCAGTTCCAATTCTTCTCAGGAAACACAAAAAACCACCCCAATAATTTGAATGGGGAAAATTTCATGTTAAGTGTTAACTAATAAAAGATAGTTAACTACTGTACGTGTGAAAGAGGATTTGAGGAGCATAGAAGTAGCAGCATCAGAAAGCACTGCTACTCTAGGACTAGTGGATAGAGAACAAAGAGTACGAACTTCAAGGATAGATCCTTCCCCTCCACCCCATACTGACATTAGCATCTCTTCGGAAGACAGTGTGGGTGCCACAGAAACACACAACCTTCCAGTGGTAAAGAAATTTACTGGAGGACTTGGGCCATAGCTGATAGACTAAATCCTCTGCTTAGGTAGCAGAGAAACTGCTGCCCACTCCCCAGCTCCCCATTGATTTGCTGGCTGCAGCACACCAGTAGTAGGCAGAAAAGTCCCTTCCTTCTCCCTTACCTAGCAGTGTCCCTCCACTAGCTCTGTTGGCCACAATCAGGTCAGCTGGCAAAGGAAGACTTTCTATAGGGCCCAGCTCAGGTATCACATAGCTGGAAAATAAAGGTAGATTTGGAGCTGAGAGGCTCCAAATAAGTGAATAAGCTCTTATCCAGTTTCATGGCTGTAACCACCATCTCTATCGCACTGTCTCCCGTATTTAAATGTCTAGTCTGTTCTCCCTTGTGCTCCAGAGAATTATTACTGAATCCAGCTGGCTCTTTCATGCCTTCAGTTGGATTTCTCATAAAGATGCTTAACTTAAGGAATACAGAACCAAGCACCTGTACTTCATTTAGTTTTTCCCATCTCAATAAAGGGCATCATTGTTCAAGCAAAAACATAACCTAGACATTTATCTTTTTCTCTTACCGCATGGCTAGTTGGTCATAATCCTGCCAGCTCTATCTTAGAAATATATTCAAATCCCATCACTTTGCAGTACTTCCATTGCTGCCACCATGCTCCAAGTCATCATCATCTCTTGAATCTCAAATCTCAGAAATAACCCTAGATTTATTTATTACCAATGTATGACTGATTATTAAATTTCTACTTGTTCTGTAGCTTTTCATTCTTCTTTTTCTTCTTCTTATTGAAAGGCAGAGTTAGAGAGAAATAGAGAGATCTTCCATCTGCTGATTCACTCCCCAAATGGTTGCAATGGCCAGGAGCCAGGCTTCATCCAGGTCTCCCAGGTGGGTGGCAGGGAGCCAAGCACTTGGACCATCTTCCATTGCTTTTCCCAGGTGCATTAGGAGGGACCTGGATCCAAAGTGGAACATCTGGGACTTGAACCCGTTACACCACAACACTGACCCCAGCTTTTCATTCTTTAACAGCTACACTCCATCTCTCCTCATCAAATTTTATATAAAATAGCAAAAGCCGTAGAGTTTCTGAATATGCCTGTTGCATCTCTTGCTGTGAGAGTAAGCCTATATTTGTGTTATTTGTATTTACCAGTACAGCATTAACCCTTATTTTTAAACAATTGGTAATAACATCATTAGTAATAAAGTTAATGATATTAATATCACTTCTTCATGTGTGGTTTTTAAACTTATACAGATCTTCCTAGCTAAAACTAATAATTGCCTGTTATCAGATTTTTTAAAAACACTTTAAAGCAGTTTTATGAAGGCCTAATTTTCTTAAATTTCTGGTTTATTGGCTAGAAACTATTAAGGTAGCCCCCCAAACCAACCTCAAAAAAAATTTAGACATGTCATTGGCTTTTGGTATTAGTTAAAATCTTATTATTTTAGGGTAAATATCAGTAATAGTATTTGTTACATTCACAAGCCATATTTTTTAGTTCTTAGAATTCCATGCCGCTGAAATATAGAATTCAATAGAAAACTTCATTTGCATCTCCTGACTCCAGTTTTTAAAATTAATTAATTTATTTGAAAGGCAGAGTTACAGAGAGGGAGACACACTGAGACAGAGACAGAGACAGAGGGAGACAGATCTCTACACTGGTTCACTCCCCTAATGGCTGGGGCTGGGCCAGGCTGAAGCCAGGAACCTGGAATGCCATCTGGGTCTCCCATGTGGTATCAGGGACCTAAGTACTTGGGCCCTCTACTTCTGCTTTCCCTGGTGCATTAGTGGGGAGCTGGATCCAAAGTGGAGTAGTTGGTACTGAAACCGGTGCTCTTGTGGGAATGCAGATTGCAGGCAGCAGCTTGGCCTGCTGCACCACAACGCCAAGCCCCTTTTGACTCCCTTTTTATGCTGAGTTGAGACCATAATAAATACAGGCATCTTCTTTGAAATTAAAAATTCTTTAACCATGTTTTAACTTTTTTTTTTTAATTAAAAAAAAAATGCCTGATACAAACTCTCTTTCTCTTTCAGGTGGGAGATGTTGCTGTTTTTCTCCTGACGGTAAAGCTTTAGCTGTAGGTCTCAATGATGGAAGTTTCTTAATGGCAAATGCAGACACTCTAGAGGATCTTGTATCTTTTCACCACAGAAAAGATATTATTTCAGATATTCGATTTTCACCCGGTAAGATTCCATTGAAATTATATTTGATTTTTAACTTGGGTCTGGCAGTGAGTAACTGTATTAATGTGTGATTTTTATTATCAGTATTTTATCTCAGAATTTTACTTTTTTATTGAGAAGAGACGGTGTGGTGAGAGGAAAAAGGCATGTATTAGATTAGTGCAAATATCTGCTTTAGTTTCAATTCTGTCACCAAGTTTTCCTTGACTTGGGCCAAGGCATTTCTCTGAGTCTCAGTCTCCTCGTTTATAATATAAAAAGGATTGGAAGACTATTTTCATTCTGTTCTTCATGCATTTGAAATTGCATTAATTTTTCCCCATCAATTTCCAAGTATCCGTTATTAAATTCAAAGTCTAATGTAATATAGGAATTACTAACATTGAATCAAAAATTTACTTCTGTGGTTTAGTTCCATTTTTCCCAAACCTAAAGGGCTTGGAAGAGGTTAAATACAAAGTGTATCAAAATTATACATTTTTTTAACATTTGCTCTCCACTGAACTAATTTGTTAGCTAAAAACTTGCTTCATTTGTAAAATTATAATATACTTGAAAAATATGTCCTTTTGTGGTTTGACAAATCTGTCATGTTATGACCTGTAAAATATCTAAGATACCTCCAAAAAATGTTAAGAAAATTAACCGTAGTTGCAGTATGTAAAAAATATTTCCAAAGGTAGGAAATGTCAAGCAAATATGTTTTTATTATAGGGTCTGGGAAATATCTAGCTGTAGCATCCCATGACAGCTTTATAGATATATACAATGTAATGAGTAGTAAGCGAGTCGGAATCTGCAAAGGAGCTACCAGTTACATAACCCATATCGACTGGGATGTTGGAGGTAAGACTTTTAACTTAATATTTACTATGAGCTGCGTTTGATTTAGTGTAGCTGCTTTAAGAACCAGAAAAATTATTTGACAGTTGGGTTGAAAAAGTGGTGAAATTTTATTCTTAAAATTAGTTTCTACCTAGCCGGCGCCGTGGCTCAATAGGCTAATCCTCCACCTTGCGGCGCCGGCACACCGGGTTCTAGTCCCGGTTGGGGCGCCGGATTCTGTCCCGGTTGCCCCTCTTCCAGGCCAGCTCTCTGCTATGGCCAGGGAGTGCAGTGGAGGATGGCCCAGGTGCTTGGGCCCTGCACCCCATGGGAGACCAGGAAAAGCACCTGGCTCCTGGCTCCTGCCAGGATCAGCGCGGTGCGCCGGCTGCAGCGGCGGCCATTGGAGGGTGAACCAACGGCAAAGGAAGACCTTTCTCTCTGTCTCTCTCTCTCACTGTCCACTCTGCCTGTCAAAAAAAAAAAAAAAAAAAAAAAAAAAAAAAAAAAAAAAAAAAAATTAGTTTCTACCACTTTATTTTACATCTGTACTTGAACACTATAGAGCTTAGGATTCTCAGTATTTTACCAACTGTCATTCAAATTTGTAAAGTAATTTAAATATACCAAAAATAATTGTAGTCATGATAGCATCCTGATTTAGTCAGATACATTTAACATAAATAGTAACTTCAAATTTGGAGACTAGAAATGTTCATGAGGATTTTAAAGTCATTTTCCCTATCATTTGATATAAAATATATTCCCTAAAAATCGTCAGAATTGTATAACATAAGGAATTTGAATATCTTTGTTTTTGCAGAGTGCATGTCATACAATAATGTTTAATAAATAATAAATATTTAAATACTTCCTTTTAAAGGATTTTATTGTTTCACCTATTTAAAAATATATATCTAATAGTGTAAATTAATGTTTTTCCAACTATTATTGAACAGAATACTTACATTGATGTTTTTAAAAGATTTATTTAGTTTGAAAGAGTTATAGAGAGGGAGGGAGAGACAGGGAGAGAAATATTCCATCTTTTGGTTCATTTCCCAAATGGCTGCAACAGCCAGCACTGAGCCAGGCTGAAGCCAGGAGCTTCATCCAGGTCTTCCACAAGGGTAGGAGGTACCCAAACAGTTAGGCCATCTGCTGCTACTTTTCCCAGGCCATTAGCAGAGAGCTGGATCAGAAGTGAAGCAGCCACGACAGGAACCTGCACCCATTTGGGATGCAGGGATCGTGAGTGGCAGTGTTACCCACTTTGCCATAATGCCAGCCCTACACTGACTTTTAAGAAATATTCCAACATTTGTTTCTAGATTTTAAAAAGTATATGAATAACAAAAGAAATATTTTTATTTACATCTGCACACAAAAATTAAACCAGAGGCAGGTGTTGTGGTGCAGCAGATTAAGTTGCCACTTGGGCCCCCTACATCCCATGTCAGAGTGCCAGTTGAATCCTGGCTATTCTGCCTCCAGTCCAACTCCCTGCTAATGTACCTGGGAAGCAGATGATGGCTCAAGTACTTGAGTCCTTGCCGCATATGTAGGAAACCCAGATGGAGTTCTCAGCTCCCGGCCTGACCTAATCCAACCCAGCTGTTGAAGGCATTTGGGGAGTAAACCAGGAGATGAAGATCTCTCTCTGGCACTTTGCTTTTCAAATAAAATCTTTTTTTAAAAAAATTAGGCCATTTATGAGTTTAATACACAGTTATATGGAGATTAAGAAAATAAAATGTTTGGGGGCCGGCACTGTGGCACAGTAGATTAAGCCACTATCTGAAATGCCAGCTTCCCATATGATCTCCAGTTTGAGTCCCAGCTGTTCCACTTCCAATCCAGCTCTCTGCTAATGTGCCTGGGAAAGCAGGATTGTTCAAGTGCTTGGGTCTCTGCACCTATGTGGGAAACCTGGAAGACGTTCCTAGCTCCTGGTTTTGGCCTGGCCCATCCCTGGCTGTTGGGGCCACTTGGGAAGTGAACCACTGGATGGAAGATCTCTCTATCTCTGTTTCTCTTTCCCTCTCTTTTTGTAATTCTTACTTATAAATAAATAAATCTTAAAAAAAGAAAATGTTCTTAATACATATTGATTGCAGAGGAAAATAATTTTTATATTTATACTTAATTTTTCACATAAAATTTATTTTCCCCATAAAATGTAAACATTCTAATAGTATATGTATTTATCTATTTTTCATATATATGTAGGTATTTTCTTTTTTTTTTTTTTTTTTTTAAGGAAAGCTTCTACAGGTCAATACTGGTGCTAAAGAACAGATATTCTTCGAAGCTCCCAGAGGGAAAAAACAAAACATCCCCAGTGTGGAGGTAGGAAGATAGTGGTGCTTGTAGTGTTGTTTGTATGAGTAAGACCAATTGGAAAACTGATGCCTATTTTGCATCATTTAGTTACAAGTGAATGCTTGTTTTCAAATTATTTGAATTATGGATATTCTTTGAGTTTATTTTACTGAGCCAGAATACCTAGATGAGTAAAGGAAGAAACTGTGTTTTCAGAAAAGGAATAAATCACTTGTATATCTAACTGTGCTCCAACTACTTTCCTTAAATATGAGGAGCAAGCAATAAGAGAACATATATACTATCTAAGATGGGAGTACTACATGTTTGACACATCCTTTGGAAATCCATTTGCTTAACATACTTGTTGACAGATTGCTATTTAAAAAAATAGCAGGCCGGCGCCGCGGCTCACTAGGCTAATCCTCCGCCTAGCGTCGCCGGCACACCGGATTCTAGTCCCGGTCGGGGCGCCGGATTCTGTCCCGGTTGCCCCTCTTCCAGGCCAGCTCTCTGCTGTGGCCAGGGAGTGCAGTGGAGGATGGCCCAGGTGCTTGGGCCCTGCACCCCATGGGAGACCAGGAAAAGCACCTGGCTCCTGGCTCCTGCCACCGGATCAGCACGGTGCGCCGGCCGCAGCGCGCCGGCCGCGGCGGCCATTGGAGGGTAAACCAACGGCAAAGGAAGACCAGTGGGTGAAGCTACTGCAACACCCAGTATCTCTTGTGCTGTTTTGAGTGCTGGCTGCCCCACTTCTGATCCAGCTCCCTGCTAATGCGCCTGGGAAAGCAGTGGAAAATGGCCCAGGTACTTGGGCTCCTTCCACCCATGTGGGAGATCCAGATGGAGTCCCTGGCTCCTTATCTGTCTCTCCCACTCTCTTTAGAGAGTGGGGGAGGATAGTGTGGGAAGTATCATCATACCCTTAAAACTGTATGAAATACATAAATTTGTTCCCTTTATATAATTTTTTAAAAATATTTATTTTATTTATTTGAAAGAGTTACAGAGAGAGGTAGAGATAGAGAGAGAGGTCTTCCATCTGCTGGTTCACTCCCCAGATGGCTGCAATGGCTGGAGCTGCACCAATCCAAAGCCAGGAGCCAGAAGACTCTTTCCAGGTCTTCCGCGTGGGTGCAGGGGCCCAAGGACCTGGGCCATTTTCCACTGCTTTCCCAGGCCATAGCAGAGAGCTGGATCAGAAATGGAGCAGCCGGGACTAGAACTGGCACCCGTATGGGATGCCGGCACTTCAGGCCAGGGCTTTAACTCACTACGCCACAGTGCCTGCCCCAAATTTTTTTAAAAAAGATAAAAAAATCAACAACAAAACAAAAACTGTATTCGGGAAGCCAATGTTTGACATAGAGGTTAGATTACTGCTGGGGACACCCACATCCCTTATCAGAGTCCCTGGGTTCAAGTTCCAGCTCTACTGCTTCTCTTCAAATGCTGGTGACAGCTGAGGCTGGGCCAGGCCAAAGCCAGGAGTCCAGAACCCAAGCTGATCTCCCGCGTGGATGGCAGGGAGCCAACTACTTGAGTTGTCACCTGCTGCTTCCCAAGCTGCACGTTAGCACGAAGCTGGATTGGAAGCAGAAGACCTGGGTCTCACACCAAACACTCTGATATGGGGTGCAAGCCTCCAAAATGGTGTTCTAACTGCTGTCACACCAAACACTCTGATATGGGATGCAAGCCTCCAAAATGGTGTTCTAACTGCTGTGCCAAGTGCCTGTCCCTCTGCAGTTTTCTGCCTGACAATATTAGCAAGGTTTGTTGGCATGGCCTACAAAGTAAGACTCAACAAATTTAGCATGAAAGTAGCTTATTAAAAGAAAAGACTCTAAGTAAAAATTTTAAAATTTGTAGTACTAATCATTAGTTGGAATACATGCTTATAATGCAAGTAGAAATTTAGACATAGGATGCAAGAATATTTCTTGTTCTAGGGGCAAAAATGGTCTTACTTGTTATTGCTGTATGTGAACACCTAATGGATATATAAGCATATTCTGAATAATGTTATGTTAAATTTTTTTCTTCAGGAACTGATAGACAGGGAAGCTACAAAATCAAGAAAATTAATGGCCTAACTTTTTCATTAAAACTTTAATTTTCTTGTGATGTATAATTACAAAGACAGTAGTTCATATTTGGGTTAATAATTTTTTATATTTAGATATTATCAACTTAAAGCCTTTTTCCTTTTTTTAGGTAGAAAAGATTAGTTGGGCATCATGGACAAGTGTGCTTGGTTTATGCTGTGAAGGAATTTGGCCAGTAATTGGAGAAGTCACAGATATAACTGCCTCTTGCCTCACCAGTGACAAAGTGGTCCTAGCTACTGGTGATGATCTGGGATTTGTCAAGTTATTTAGATATCCTGCGAAAGTATGTGTTTTTCTTTAACTTTTCTAATGACCATAGTTATGAAAATGGTTAAGGTAAAGCCGTTTCATAGTTTTTTATTGTCGCAATGTGAATTGTACACATGTAATATGTATGTAACAAGAAATGTTCAGTGTTATATTTCCTGTTCGTGGCATCATATTTATAGGTTTTATCTGAAAGAACTATTTTAATTTATGATCCCAGGCCGTAAGTTATGTATTACATTATACAATGTTTTCCAATGCAGAATAATGTAAATATTTCTTTAAAGGAATCATTCCTTTTATTCTAATAATAACTCTAGTAATTTTACTATTACTTTGATTAAATATGTACCATTAACAGTAAATATAAACTCTTTATGGTTATAATTTTTAAGTTAAGTTTTTTAAAAAGATTTATTTGTTTGAAAGGTGGAGTGACGGACAGCTAGAGAGAGAGAGAGAGATTTTCCATCCATTGGTTCACTCCCCAAGTGCTTACAAACAGCCAGGGCTAAGCCATACAAGTCTAGTACCAGGAGCCAGCGAATTCATCCCCCGGTTTCCCATGTGGGTGGCAAGGACTCAGCTGCTTAAGCCATCATTGTTTCCTTCCCAGGTGTTTTAACAGGAAGCTAAGTAGTGGGACTCAAACCCAGTATTCTGATATCAAATACAGACATCCTAAGCAGCAGCTGAATCTGCTGTGCTACAACGCCCATAAGTTTAAAATGTTTTAACCAATTAAATACAAAATACTTAAAACACCTATAAGATGAAGATAAACAGCATTGATTTAATGTGATGGATGATTTTTTTAAACCAAACTCTGCAGATAACCAAGCTATGTGCTGTGTAACTATTCATTTTTTAAGTCAATTCCCTCTATTCAAACTACTGTGGAGTATTAAACTTCTGCTTTGCAAAAAAATAAAATTCTTGCAACAAGTCCAGATGTGTTTATTTCTTAATTGTCGGAAATTAAGTTACATATTATAACCCAGCACCAACATAAGCAAAAACATAAATTTGAAATAGGGCATTGAAATCATGATATAGTTGTCTTAAGTAATTGCTCATATTAACATTTTTAGATCACCATTGAAATGAAAATTTAGGTGTAAAACTTCTCATAGAGAACTTAGACACTCTGCAGGCCACTGTTTTATATATATATGAGTGGTAGAACCCTACTTGATAAAAAGGTGTTCCATTAAAATACTTATTATTCAGAAACCTCACTTCCAACATTTCAGATGGTGTGAATCTCTTAGGAATATGTTTTAGATTATTGGTCTATAGAAGAACCAGACAATCTTAGAGAAACAACCTTTTTACAGTGCTTTGATGACAGATCCCCCTACCTACCTTTTACTGAGTCTTTATTCTCAGAGAATTCACAAGGTTTTATTATCTAAGACATCTCTTATTTCAACACCCTTGAAAAGATTGCAACTTCAGGCTGGCGTCGTGGCTCACTTGGTTAATCCTCTGCCTGTGGCGCCAGCATCCCATATGGGTGCTGGTTCTAGTCCTGGTTGCTCCTCTTCCAGTCCAGCTCTCTGTTGTGGCCCGGGAAGGCAGTGGAGGATGGCCCAAGTGCTTGGGCCCTGCACCCGCGTGGGAGACCAGGAGGAAGCACCTGGCTCCTGGCTTCGGATCGGCGCAATGCCGGCCATTGCAGCCAATTGGGGGGTGAACCAATGGAAGGAAGACCTTTCTCTCTGTCTCTCTCACTGTCTATAACTGTCTGTCAAATAAATTAAAAAAAAAAAAAGAAAAGAAAAGGTTGAGACTTAAAACCTGCAGATACAAATTGATCTGAAATTTAGTTTGTATTGCTAATATTCTAGATTTAAGTTACCAGTGCCTGTAACTTGGATTTTCTTGATATTTAAATAAAAATACATACATATATAATGAACAAAAGCAATAATGAATTAAGATGAAAAATATATATATACAAAAATATAGTGGGACTGGTGTTGTGGCACACAAGTAAAGCTGCTGTTGGAGACCCCCACACCCTGTATGAGAGTGCCAATTTGAGTCTTAACTCCTCTGCTTCCAATTCAGCTTCCTGCTAATATGCCTGGGAAGGCAGCAGATGATGGCCCAAGTACTTGGGTTCCTGCACCTACGTAGATCTGGATAGAGTTGCTGGCTCCTGGCTTCAGCATGGCCCAGCCCTGGCAGTTTTGGGCATTGGGGAGTGAACCAGCAGGTGGAAGATTTCTCTGGCTCTTTCTCCCTCTCTCTCTGTCACTCTACTTTTCAAATAAATATTTAAATACGCATGATTAATAATTGCTTTTGTTTCTATAGAGACATTTGTATCCTTTACCACCTTTTGTGTTTTATGTGGTATTTTTTGCATGCAAAGGATTTTGTTAGCAGATTCCAGAAGGGAGATTGGTAAATCTAAGGGACAAACATTTTTATGCTTTTGATGCAGAAGAATACCACTTGGTTTCCAAAGGAGTTGTGCCAGTGATACTAACGATGTGTGAAACTACTGGTTTTATCCTGTCCTCACCAGGTTTTAGAATTTGTATTTTTTATTCTTAAGAATTTCTGTGTATTCTCATTTTTGTATGTTGCACTTTGGAATAACTTTTATACTAAGAAACAAAAAGTTAAAAATTATAATTAACAATGTGTCAAATAATGAAATTTCTCAGAAAGAATGTTTGAATTTTTTTTCGTCTTTAGGGAAAATTTGGAAAGTTTAAGAGATATATGGCCCATAGTACGCATGTCACAAATGTTCGCTGGACTTACGATGACAGCATGTTGGTTACCCTAGGAGGTGCAGATATGTCTTTAATGGTGTGGACGAATGAAATGGAAGGCTATCGAGAAAAAAGGCCTTGTGATAGTGAAGAATCCGATATTGATTCTGAAGAAGATGGGGGTATGTCATTTTAAAATATTTTAACAAAAATATGTTTAGAAATATTTAGAAACATAGAAGAAATTAGCACAAGTAAATTAAAACTGAAAAAATTAAAACAGGTAATAATGTTTAGATGATGTGCTGTTAGTGTTCTTGGTCTGTTTAACACTGAAATTTGTTTTGTTACTCAAAAATAACAGCCTGGCATATAATGATTTATATATTCTTCATCTATAAATGTAAGACAATTGTATTTTAAATAAATTTTATATAGCCCAACTTCATATTTTAAAATAATCTTTATTTTTCCTAATATAATAATTCCAATACAATTTACAATAAAAATAAACATAGCACATATAATTTAACCATTCAAAGTTAATCACTTAACATTTGTGATATATTGTTAGGTGAATATGCTTTTAAGTACATCTTGCTGTTAAGAAAAGTGGTATTATGTTGAGCTTATTTTTGTAATCTGCTACTTGGTAATGCCTTGAAAACATCAGTACATAACATTAAATAATATTTTTGCTGGGTATATATCATTTCATAATTTGGCTATAACAACTTATTTCAAGTTGTTAGACATACTTAATATCTAATTTATAAGATCATAACTGATCTCAGTTATCAAGTAAAGAATAATTTATGTTTTATGTTAGGCTATGACAGTGATGTTACAAGGGAGAATGAAATCAGTTATACCATCAGAGCCTTATCAACAAACATTCGCCCAATGTTTGGAACCAAGCCTCATTTGCAGCAAAAAGAGCCTTCAATTGATGAGAGGTAACAGTCGAGTTTAAAATTAGAGGAAGAAAAGGATACTGATCTTAAAAGTTGAATTTATTGTTTAACCAAATGGGTTTTTTTGTAGTAACTCAATAAAAGTAACATTCTTGCTTTATACACTGCCCAGCACCTCTCAAAAAAATGTTTGTCCTAAATACTTTTTGGAGGTGCCAGCTGTCTTTGCAAGTACTTTAGGAAATTATACACACACACAAACACACACACACACGTAAAGTGAGTATGATTATTCTTTTTTTTTTTTTTTTAATTTATTTGACAGAGTTAGACAGTGAGAAAGAGACAGAAAGGTCTTCCTTCCATTGGTTCATCCCCCAAATGGCTGCTATGGCCGGAGCTACGCCAATCTGAAGCCAAGAACCAGGAACTTCTTCCTGGTCTCCCATGTGGGTGCAGAGCCCAAGCACTTGGGCCATCCTCCACTGCCCTCCCGGGCCACAGCAGAGAGCTGGACTGGAAGAGGAGCAACCAGAACTAGAACCTGGCGCCCATATGGGATGCCAGCGCCGCAGTGGAGGATTAACCAAGTGAGCCATGGCACTGGCCCTGATTATTCTTATTTGTTAGCTTTTATAAATAAATTTGTTGGGGGCTGGTGCTGTGGCATAGCAGGTAAAGCTGCCGCCTGCAGAGCTGGCATCCCATGAGGGTGCTAGATCTAGTCCCAGCTGCTCCACTTCTGATCCAGCTCTCTGCTATGGCCTGGGAAAGCAGTAGAAGATGGCCCAGATCCTTGGGCCCCTGCACCCACGTGGGAGACCTGGAAGAAGCTCCTGGCTCCTGGCTTCGGATCGCCACAGCTCCAGCTGCTGTGGCCAATTGGCGAGTAAACCAACAGATGGAAGCTGTGAGGGGGACAGCTCACGGGGCACCTGCAACCATGGCGGCCAGGCTCCCAGGCCTCACATGCAGCAACAGCAGGACCTCTGGGTGTGCTGGCTACCTCCCGGGCTGAGGTGCAGGGCCCTGCCCAGCAGGTTGTACCCCTCATCCTAGGAGGCCTGTCAGGCTAGCCTGGCACCCACAGCTCTCTGGAAACCTGAGCAGCCAGGAGGTAGGCAGGCCTCTGGCTCCTCCAGGGGAGGTCCTGCCCGTGGGGTGGAGGCTGTGGGTCTCCTTGTCACTGACTTGTCCGTGGATCTGAATAAAGCCCAAGGCTTTCTTCCCCTGGGAAAAAAGTCATAAAACATACTGGCTCTTTATTTTTTTAAAGATTTTTTGTTTTTACTTGAAAGAGTTCTAGAGAGGCAGAGGCAGGGAGAGAGAGAGGTCTTCCATCCACTGGTTCACTCCCCAGATGGCTGCAATGGCCGGAGCTGTGGCGATCCGAAGCCAGGAGCCTCCTCCAGGTCCCCCACATGGGTGCAGGGGCCCAAGAACCTGGGCCATCTGCTATTGCTTTCCCAGGCCATAGCAGAGCACTTGATTGGAAGTGTAGCAGCTGGGACCTGAACCGGCGCCCATATGGGATGCTGGCACTGCAGGTGGCAGCTTTTACTTGCTACACCACAGCGCCAGCCCCATCATATTGGCTTTTTAAAAGTTCTTGCAAATATCCACTTTAAAGTAAAATGTTTCTGATGACAATTAATGATTACTGTTTCTTGTTTATACTTTTGTGGATTTTTTTCCTAAATGATTTCAATAATTTAACATTTTTCTTTCTCAAGTATTTTTGTAGCAAATCTT